ATAACCTTGCCATAGAGACTAATATTGATTTACAATAATGAGGACAAGAATGACTTGACTAAATTCTTTCACTAAAACCAAATGATAAATTTCCCTTTTCTTTTAATTTTAACATGGCACTACAGATGTTTATGCATTTTTATATCAGAACATTTTCATTTGTTATGTTGAATTAGTTTTTTGAGTGGATTATCATTATGTTTTAGAGCTTCAAATGGAAACAAACCTTTGGAGTTTCATTGCTTCCTGGAAGGACTACGTGGCATACTCAGTTAGAGCAATGAATGAGATACAGAACAGTCAGGTAGCTAGATATTCAAAGATGTATAACTTGGAGCAAAAGTAAAAAACACATACACAGAAATCATATTTTATAAGAACACATGGATGTAAAAGCCTATAAATGTCCAAAGAGATATCATTCATGGTGCCTGGAAAATAAGAGTAGAGAATCAAGAAGAATTATAATGAGCCTGAAAATAAAACAAAAACTCATTTTGTCCAGTTTAACATATCAAAAACTGAGATGCAATTAGCACAGATCTCTGTACCTGACATCAAGAAATATATATATGTAAATATATATGTAAATGTATTATATATATATATATATATATATATATCCCCAACTTTATAAAATGTAACTCCTTGCTGCAGTGCTGCAGTTAATTTGCTGTGTTACACATCATGTAATCTATGGGGATGGTGACAACTATACTTTTTTTCCATATTTTTATTGAGAAACAAATAGCAATGAGACAGTTTCAAACCAAATTGGTAGGACAGTTTCAATAATCAACACATTGCATATATTCTTCCTAGTGGTTAATTGCTGTACATGATGCGGACATGATATTCTATTTACAAATACTATTAGATCAAATCAGTCTATCCATTGAATTAAGAGAATGTAGCTGTATATGTATATTAACCATTTTGAATACACAAATACAAAATGGTCAATCATCTGTATCCCTTTTTTTTTGTTTAGTTCTGTCATTTAAATATTATAGGTGTGTTAACTCAGCAAAATATTCTAAAAGAGTCCAGTAGTCCATAATAGTATTGGGTCTTCCACTTCACTGGCAATGTCAGAA